TCGATGGCATACATAATGTTTTATGTAAATTACTATCCAATTTATTAAATGTTCTTAATTTTTCTCTTGTTAATCACCTTTTAATTATTTGATTCCTCTAATTTGTAAAGTAAGTAATACTATCAAGGTTTTACATTTGGATGACTCCAGAGGTAAAATATTATAGAATTTTATATTAAATGGAAATTTTATTTACATGAATTTTTCCCATTCTTCCTTAGTAAGAATAATCAAAATTGGAGTAGACTGCTTCTTACTTTTTATGCTCTTTTTTAGAAAAATAGTAAAAAATAAAGCATATTGATTATGTAAGATAGTCATTTCTGATAGGACATATTACATTTAAATTGATCTTTTAGAATCTTTGTATTTTTTCTTTGGCTTTTTCTTTTGTTTAATTCATGCTTCTCACTTTCTTTGAGAATTACCTAAAATCCAGTGCCTTACAAAGGCTCTTCTATGACTTGCCCTCCTCCATTAGGAATACTCTTCCTAATGGTTGTAGGAGACCTGGTCTCAATTGTTCTGCCCTGTACTGTCATATTTACAGATTTTGAGAGCAGAAAGACCTTTGGAATCATGCAGCTCATTACTGACATTTCCTGAGGAAGAGGAGGAAGGGGATGGGGCAGGGTTCCAGTCACACAGCTGGCTGACCTTTGGGTCAGAAGTATGACCAGGGTAGTTTTGCCTATTCTCTGTTTTGAAGTTGCTTGATTGTTTCATGTATGTGTGTTTTGGTCTCTCTAGCTGGGAGATTTGTTGGCAAGACCTAGCCTTTCCTCAGGCACAGATTCTTTCCCACATGTGTTTCCAGACTAGGCGTACTGGAAGGGGCAAGTGCCAGACCTTTGGGGGCAGATACCTATGGTGTGTGACTGACTGTCTTTTGGCATAGTTCTATATTAAAAATGTCTTCAACTTTTACTTTAATATATAAAGCACATTCTTTGATATGTTTTCTTCCATCTATTAGTAGAGCTGGTTAGTACTACAAATAATTCAGGATTTGTATTTTCTTGGTTGTCCTGACATGAAGACAGATATAAATACCTCTCTAAGAATTAGATGATTAGGTACATTTTCATTTTCTGATTACTTGAAATCTTTGGCAAGGTGATAGGTACCAGAATATAGATCTCAATACCCAAATGCTCTTCTCAGTCTTTTTTTTTAATAGTTATGGAGTATCAGAGAATAGCTTACTTAAAACAGTGGTCTTCAAACATGGCCATCTATCACGATTAATTTACCCTTCCACTCACCGTGCCAGCTGAACTAGGACCTCCGAATTTGGGCCCTGTGCCTCTGTATGTGTAAAGAGCTTTACAGGTGATTCTGAAACAGAGTCAAAGTAAGAACTTTGGTTTAGAAGAGCAGCACAGCTGGGATGATGGAGGCCCCTTTTAAAAAGAAAATTGCTGTTTCAGAGAGGTGTACCTATTTGATGGGTATGCAGAAATCTTATGGAAAGGTGCAAACTGATACTCTCCATCACTGAAATTACCAGATTGCCTATAGGCTATGCCCTTCCAGCCCACATACTCCTTAAAATGCAACTACAAATCTCTGTGTATCTAGGATGGGAGTGATAAACCAAGACTGTGCTTTTTGCATTTCAGTTCAAAAGTGACACAGCAACCTACATTGCTAATAGAATTCTGTTGTTAGAAATTGACATTTTAACATTATAATGAGTAGTGGTTGACCCAGACATTGAAAGTTGTAGTAAGGTTGATTCTGTGTTTGGATATTGTGGTGCCTGTCTTATAATTGTCTATTATTATAGTCCACTCTCTCTACAGCACATTTATTCAGTGATATATATATATCACTGATATTCAGTGATATATATATATATATATATATATATATATATATATATGGCCACCATATATGAAGCTGCCATAGGGATATTCTGCTAAACTGAGCAAATATTAAAATGATACTGATGAAATAATATGCATGATTATAAAGTCACAAAATAGTCAAGTGGTCATGTGGTTCAGTTTATACAAGTAGAGAATTGGCAAAAGCCAGTTTAAATTTTTAGTTGGAATCTTTCTGAGTCTTGCTTTGGGCTAGGTGCTATAGGGTACAACAAAAGCCAGAGAGACCAACTTTTGAATCATGACGAGTTTTCAAAAGAGGCAAAGTTGGATGGATTAGTGATTGTGATGTAATAGTAATTACATATACTTTATTATGTTAATATAATGAGACAAAATGTTTTTTCTTTTCCTTTTTTGACTTAAGACAGACACTAGGGATGTTTTAAGTCTGCCATTAACCAGATAAAGAAGTGGTTTTTAAGAAAAAATTTGTCATAAACTATACCTTAATAAAAATTTAGAGTAGAAAGATCTTCCTTTTCCTCCAGCAGTGGGTTACGTAATTGTAAATGTGTGTATATGGATGGACCACATGGCATTTTCATTTATTCAGAGTAGAGTCGAGAGGGTCTATGTTTAGCACTCGAATATTGGACATGATTCAAGTATGAGTCAAGTGTGTCTAGAGGCTTTATTCATACCTATTTTCTTTTAGTCAGCAATGCTTCATAATGCCTTGGTTTCATGAATTAATTTTAATGGAATTAAACTCGAACAGCTCAAAATTATATAATTAATTTCATTCAGCTTCAATTAAAGTTACTAATTGAATCAAGCCTACTAGCATGACACCTGGCGGCTGGCAGCTACATAACAGTAGCAGCAAGTACGCGGGACCCTGCTGACAGGCTAGTTCATGTATACTAGTGAGTTTGTATAGAAATCTCTTTTATTGATAATCTCAGAAAGGCCTTGAGTTGGCTGTAGCAGTGGAAGATTTATGGACTTGCTTTAAAAAGTAAAAATTTTAATTGAAACTAACACATCATATGAAGATTACATTTTTCCTATGATAATTCTGAATAAATGTTACATAAATCTAGAACATATTGGTTTAGCATGCTTTTAATTTATAATTTAATGCTGTTTGAATATGATTTTGCTTTCTAAAAATATGTAGAGTTGAAGACACTTTCAGAGATCTCAGCCTCTGAATTTATTTTTAAGTTCATGTCCCTCTATCTATTTTAAAGTGCTGAAATGTATTTCGTGGCAGAAGTTTTCAATTGTTGTGAAATCCCCATGGTACCTGAGAAATTTTTGCATGTGCAGAAAATTTTCCTTCCACTGGAAATGTTAACACGGTTGACTAACAACTTCTGTTTGAATCTGTTTCCCTTCTTTGCTTCCATAGCTTGACATCATCCTGCTTCTCTTACTTTTCTAACTCCTTCCCAATTGTGCAGACTCTTTTTGTGACTTTTAGTCACTCTTTTAGTGACTTCATTAATTCAAAAGACTTCAACAATCGATTTTTTGGAAGAAGACTGTTTCTAGATTAACCTTTTTTTTTCCTGGCTTGCAAATTCAAATATCCAGTACTGAACTGATCCATAAACTATAATTTCTATGAAGGAAGGCCTGGGTTGCATCTCATGATTTCTTGTATTCCCATCACCTTGTCCAATCCCTAAACATCTATCATGTTACACACATACTTATGCATAATCAGTAAATTATTCTCCTGATTTCCAGGTTTTGAGAGTCAACTTCAAACTAAGAACTTGGTTATCTTCAATCCTATACTCTTTATCTGTGCAAGCCTCTAGTGTCTCACATTTATGCGTTTTTTTCTATCTTGTTACTAAGTTAAATTCTCATCAACTGTTACATGAACTTTGCTAAGCCCTTATCCTGTGCTCCTTAGATGAAACCATATTCAGTGATTTACAAGTACATAAGAGTAGTCAAATTATCTGAATGAAACCTCTTCTCCCCCAGTTAAAGTAGAATTATTGGTGGTACAACCCAGGAATCTTTTATTTTCAATAAAACTTGCCAAGTTAAATAATGTGCAGTGAAGACTGAGAACCACTGTTGTGCAAAAGTTTATTAATCTTCCTAATACCTGGCTTTGCTTAGGCGTTTCATAAAGTTGCATTGGATACTTTCACTTATTTATCTTGTTTTAAAGTAGGTCCAGATTTTTTATCTTGGAATTCAATATCCACACTCTTTTTCTAATCAAGTCTTCTTCTTTTTATACCAGGGATCAAACCCATAGAGCCTTATCTTCTAATGTCCCCCTGAAAGTATTTCACAGCCCAAAAAGTTGGAACCTTTGCCCAAGTGTCTGCCTTTGGAGTTTTTCCATGCTGTTCTTCCACTTTTCTCCCATCTGGGCTTTTCAAAATCCTTCTAATCTTTTAAAAACCATCCAACATGCACCTTTTTTATAGTGTCTTTCTTGATCTCTGAATCCTGATGAGATTTTCCCCCTTCTTTTGAACCTCTTTAGTGCTCTGGGCCTTTCATAGCATGCATTTTACCTGGTGTTATAGGTTGCTTTTGTTTGACTTAACGTTCCCAACAAGACTTCACATTTCCTCACATACTGGCTTTCCCCCGAGAACTCATAAACCCCTGTATAAATCTCTCATCCTCAACACCCTTCTTCTCTGAGGATGTATTCTTTGACTTTTTTCCTAAATTTCTAAATTTCCTAAATTTCTCCAGAGAGAACTTGTACTTGCTTTCTGCCTCTGCACTACTCTGTCCCTCATTGAAATGCAGCCCAACTTTCATGTCCACCATTCATTGGAGTCCTGTCTCTTTTGATGCTTTCCCTGACATACTTGCCCCCTAGCTGTATAGTGGCACTCACTTTCATCCTTATGTAACCTTTCCACATTTCTTTATCATGGCAGATAACTTGCTATGTTAAAATTCCTTATTTACTAGAACCTTAATATATTATATTTACTGTGAACATTTCGGTTTCTTTAATGCACATAGTAGAAGTTCATTGAATAATTGCTATTGAGGCAATGCTTCTACTCTTGTTTCCTTAAACTGTGATAGAGACATTAAGAAAAATCTACAACCTATAAAACTAGAGAAAAGTATATAGCATTCAATGCTAATAAGTATGTATTCTTTTTTATTCAGAAAAATGTAATAAGGACCAAACTGAGAAAGATGTAACTCAAGCTACCAATAGACACTTAACATATGGAGAGACTCAAGACCGGTCCTTGTGGGGAAATTCTTCAGATGGTGAACTTGTCAGAAGTAAGTATTTTTAAGGAGAAAATGTGGGTGATTTGGGGATATACTGTGATAATATTCTTTCAGTCAATGCTCATATAATTCTACAAATCTATAAATCAGGAGTTTACTTGAAAGTATTTTCAATAGTATTTTAAATTGCAGAACTAAAACTGGCATATAAATAGTTCTGTCAGCTGCCATCATTTCTTTAAGAAAAGAAGAATTGACTCACATGTGCTCAATTAGATTCTCAGAGAGATTTGTCCAAACTTCTTGGTTCCTTATTGAGCAGCAACTCAGTGGGAATCAGACAACTCTAAGGAAATGTGGACAATGCAACTTTGAGAAAAGAAAGAAAGACAAGTTATATATTGACGATGCAATTGTGATCTCTATTCTTACCATTGCGATCTCTATTCTTTTTGGTTTCAATTGTGTTATATCACCATTTGTTTGTGTCTTCACCTTGATACTCTCCTGCTTTCTGAAATTGCTCTGTAGAATATTATAGAAGCATCAGTATTTTGCTCTACTTTGAGAGTACCTTGAAATACCTGTGGCTTTGGTACTGTTCAGAAGCGTGGTGATTCTCTGCGTGAGATTCTGCTTGCGACCCTCTAGAGCCTATGTTCTGGTTGATAAGTTCCCCCAGGTGAATTTGAGATGAATTTGCCATACAATGAATTATATATAGCCAATATGTAAGTGTAAAGATCAACATAGAGTTCTTTTGAAATTTCTAATCAAGGTAACTAAATTACCATGTCTCATTCTCAGTTTTGCAAAGTGGGCAGTGAAGAATTCATTTCTGCGAGTCAAGTGTTTTATTTATTTAAATTTAATTCATCAGTTTAGACAACTTCATAATATAGACCTTTTCTGATGTTACATTTCACATTTACAGTGTTTGGAAAGTTGTAGTATTCCCCTCTTCTCTAGAATGCTTACTCCTTTGCCCAAACAGAGAATCAAACAGTATAAAGCAGGGGAAAAGGGGAGGAGTGGGGAGAGAGCAGCTTAGCAGAAAACAAACAGCAACAGTAAAAACGCTATTGAAGGGAATTTCCAGTTTTCAAACAAAAGCTCTAAAAACGAGTGTATTTTAGTTTAATTTTAGAACTGTTTCGATTTTGATCCACTTTTGTCTTGGGAAAGCGAGTAGAAAGGAAGGAAATTAAACTCAGATATTACTGAGGAACAAGATTTATATAGCTTTTACTAAAGAATCAAATGGTTTCAATTACATATTTACATCTTTATCTCAAAACTGATAATTTCACTTACTATCTATATATCAACTCTACTACTGTGAATTTTAAGATTTTGTGAGATTCTGGCATATGTTATTGATGCTCTTCTAGCAACCAGAAGTAGTGAGCACTCAAAGAGGTCTGTGAGGCAATTTTAACTCCAGCTGTTGAGAAGTATGAATTTTCTCTCTCAACATACTTTCATGTGTTTTATTTAATGGATTTACTTTGCTAATCTCTTTTACCAAGGCAAGTAAAATCTCTTAGGACAAAAACAAAATACAAATTCTGGTTGCATAAGGATATGGAGAATTATGTTTACTTGATAAATTTGTTTGTCCTGCTTGGTGAAGCTCAATTCAGTCACAGAATTCATGCCATTTAAAGAGAATGGATTTAAAGTAAATTCCCCTTTCTCCCTCCCTCTGTCTCTCCCCGTTTCTCTTTCCCCCTCTGTCTCCCGCCCCGTCTCTTTCTCCTCTGCCTATACTAGTTAAATGGATAGTGATTAAAAAATATTGTCAGAAAGTTTCTTTATTGAGAAAGTGATACAGTCTGTGCCATGGGACACTGGGGACATAGTGAGTTTCCTACCAATGGCACTGAAAGAATACAGAGATAGGAAGACGATAGCTCCCTCTACAAGAGCTGCTAGGAACACTGACAGGTGAATGGTATACAGATGACCGTGGCCAAAGGCAGTAATGCCTCTCAGGCTAGAAACAGGAACTAGCAAGCTATTCCAGACTTTTATAAGTGGTGTCTGACTGACTTCAGATTACAATTTTTAAAGCTCCTATTTCTGTTGTTTTCCAAGTCACACTTTTCTAGGCAAAGGCTACTTTCTTGGATGCTCAGAAGTAAAATTCATATCTGGATTTGCAGAAGTGGAACATTTTATATCATCTTTATACTTAACTTGATTCTGGATAGCGTTTGAAACTATTATGGTAGTGGCTGCTGTTCCAGCTCTCTGACACTGGACTCTGTAACAATGACCTTCCCTCTTTGGCTTTCCCCACTGACTCTCTGGCCATCTCTTGTAATTTAATGTCTGCTTCTTAATCCTGTGTTTAGAGGAGTTGTGTGCTTGCACCTTGCTTCAGCATGTAGGTCATATCTCAAGCCCAGTAACTCTTCAGTGATAACAATAGGCTTCTGGCCTCATGCTCCACAGGGAGGAGGGGAACATCTGTGGTGAGTCAGGCCCAGCCTGGCCTCTGTGCCAGGAGTCCTGTGTGGTTCCCTGAGCACCGTGGAAGAGGTGGACAGCTGGCTGTCAAGGGATTGATGTTAGTTTCCCACTGTAGCTTGTGGTTAGTTGGATAGAGGGAGCATCAGAAAAATGAGACCTGCTTGGGTGTGGGAACATATTCAAATACACATCCCACTCTTTTTTCCAAGCTTCCATGGGACAGCTCAGCTGTATAAGCAGGCAGTGGAGGAAAGGAACTCTGTGGAATATGAGGTTTTCTTTCTTCTTAAGAGTGGTTGCTGAAAGCTGGCAGCTCAAGCCTCTGTTGCCCTGGATTCCTGCTGCCTTCTTCGTTGGACATTTAAGGCGTAATTTATAGAGGATGTTAGCTGTCAGTGTGATGAGGCCGTTTTTACTTTTTGTTGCTGAGAATAACTGAGCCCTGGAAAGTCAAGGGAGTGGCTGCTTTGGAAATTGCATTCTAATTAAAGGGTGTATTCTCAGGCTTCATAAACGAGATCCAAGCTGAGAATAATTTCCAAATTATTCTGTGAACTTTAACCCTGACCTCAGTGGACCACCCCCTTGTGGCTCCTACTGGATTCATGCTCCACACTGAAGTTTGTGCTTTGTCTGTCTTCCCCGTTCCTATTTGAAGATATTGCAGGCAGCAGACCTGGGATGCTGGAGTCTTTGGGGGCTTAGCTTTCAAATTGGTTGCCCTGAGTTGCTATGCTATTAAAGAATTTTTTTTCTAGAAATAATAAATAAAAGAGAAGAAATCCATATGGAATCAGACATTTCAGATAAATAGGCCACACACAATCTGGTCAAGGGATGTGCATTGTGACTCTCTTTCTTTTGAATTTTAAATTTAAAAAAGACAATTCAGCCACTTACATTTGTTAAAAAATTAAATAAAATTAGTAAAGAATTAGAACCACAAAAAACATTTTGTGAGGAAATTTTGTCATTGCAAAGTTTCTTTTTTATTTTATGAGTTTTTCATCCTTTTAAAGTTTAAAAGGCTTTCATATGCTGAAAAAATATTTTGGCATATAATTTAATTTTTGGAATGGAGATTTAATTTTCAAGTTTGTAAAACTTCTTTTTATGAGAGTACTGGCTAAAGCCCTGGCTTTTTGCTTCAGATTACCAGATACAGTACTGTATATAATTTGAAGTTTTTACTTGAAGTTTTTACTTGTATTAATAATCACTGTTCCTCTGATTTGGTAAAATAAATGTTGCAGTGGAGTAAAACCCCCAATTAATATTAATAATTTTTCTATTAATCCATAATATGTATAAACTGATAACAGATAGTAGACAACATTATGTGTCTTAAATAGACTAGAAGAGAAACAGGTAACATTTTGATCCCAGTATTTGGAGGGGGGGGTTCTAAGGTAGAAAGGAATATGTGCGTATGCACAATGTGTGTTCTTGTGCTTATGATTAGGCATATGTAATATTTTGCTTTAATTTAGGTCAAATTCCACTATCCTAATTATTGTCTATAAAGAGCTTACATTTTTCTTTGTTCCTCTTTATAAAATGCCTCAGGACTTTATCTCAGATTTTTCTAGGTCTTTCTGAAAATTCTTATTACTTAACTTTATCCTTGGACATTGCCTTTACATAAATGTATCCTAATTCTAAATGTCATTACTTAACTCCAGAAATTTTCCTTAGCTTCTTTTCTGAAGTAAATTTCCCATTAAATTAAACTATTTTATTCAGCTAATTCTCTCCTTTGTGATTTTATAGAATTCCCATGATCTGAAGCAAAGTTAGAATGCTCTACTTAAGTGGTAATCCCCATTCTACTTAACCCATTTATTCATTTTGAAGAGTTTTTTGCTCTCGTAATAGTAAGCACTTACTTGGCAGCAGAGAGCAAGGCATTCTCTAATTCACACTTGCCCACGGTCATGGAGCTGCTGTATCATGCCTTCTCACTCATCCTACTACTTGAAACGTTCCTCTGAATTTCCTCTCAACCTCAACAGGCTGTTATTAGGAACTCCATTATTTCTTTTCCTAGTCTTTGCCAACTTTCCATTGATCACCCTTTAATGAATACCATTTTGTCACTCAGGGAATGCTGTCCTTATGCAAAACAGTGAAAGAAAAGCCAATACTCAGGTACAGTATTTATATTCTTAGAGCATTTCTTACTTTGAGGATAAGGAAAGAGCATCAAGAGGCTGAGATTTAAATTTCTTCCACAGCTCTCTTTATTGAATATACATTTCAACAAGTACTATTTGGTTTTCCTTAGAATTCACTTTATATAAAAGAGACCATAAACAAGCCCCTAAATAGGTACCACCTAGTGAAGGCTGATATGTGTAGCTTTTGGGTTGTTTCCCAGATAATCTAGGAGGTTATTTTTGCATGATTATTTGACCTTTTGGAGGAATATGGGGAGCAAGTCCTCTCAGTCCATGTTTTTCAGTAGTAAGGATTGAACCCAGGGCCTCACACGTGTTAGACAAGCACTCTATCACTGTATATGCTCAGCCCTTTTATGTTTTATTTCATTTTATCTTGAGACAGGGTCTCTCAGTTTC